TTAGGGCTGAGAGATTCTTAATGTAAATATATTTCAGCAGAGTTAATGAAAACTTGGAGTGCTTACAAAGTTGGATATGTTACATGTGTGACAAATTATATATAAACCAGATTTCATTTCCTGTTTTTTTCTTCTAATCAGCAAAGGAAAAAAATGGCAAGAAAACCAAGTCTCCTGTAATACAGCTCGAGGCTCAAGGGGATGATGCATATTTAAACATTTGCTGTTAACATGAGTAAAACTTTACCCCCTAAAAGCCCCATAAAGCTGCAGCCAGCGATGCGCCCCTCATTCCAGCGAGGCGGGGCCGGCGGCTCAGGCTGCTGCTGGTAGCAAGGCAGGACTGTTTCTCCCACTGCTCATCACTATGGTGATCCTCGTTAAGTAAAGCCAGCAGTCCTGGTCCTGTGCCCTGGGCCTGATTTGGCATTTTTATCTGTGGCTGTCAGTTTTCACAAAACAATAGCCTTCTGTTCAATAAATATTTGAGTACCTACTAGGTGCTCAATCCTACATAAAGATGAACAGGAGGAGATGTCGTCCCCTACGGACACTTATAGGGAGAGAGAGATAGTACATGCAGAGGTCATCTGGCAAGTGAAGCCCAACTTCACATATTTTTGTGAAGTTACAGACTTAAAAATGTTTTGTTTGTCTAAGTGTAATTTTTTTTAGTTTTATTTTTAGTTTGAGACAGTGTCTCCTTGTGTAGTTCAGGCTGGCCTCGAACTCACTATGTAGCCAAGGCTGGCCTTGAACTCATGGCAATCCTTCTGCCTCAGCCTCCCAAGTGCTGGGGTTACAGGCATGTGCCACCATGCTCAGCTAAGTGTAATTGTTTTAAAAGATTATGTTTAACTTTCCAATGGAAGATCCATTATATGGTTCAACAATTAAAAATAGTGCTGGGCTGAGGATGTAGCTCAGGGGCAGAGCACTTGTCTAGCATGTGTGAGGCCTTGGACTCCATCCCTTGCACTGCCAAAAAGTAGATTCCTGTGTATATTTCCAGTGTTTCTTTATGTAATTATATATGAATATATGTTTTGATTTTCCCTTCCTAAAAGGCGAGATGTGCTATCCACTTACCTATGTGCCGGGGAAATGGTTTAATATCGGTGGTGGAGAGCTCCCTGTCATCTTTGACAGCCTGTGTCCCTGAAGGGGGTGCATCTTAGAGCCTAACCAGTCCCTCGGGACCCCGGGGGATGCTTCCAATCTACTGTCATTACAGTGAAGGCCCCAGTGAGTAATGTTGTCCAGCTGCCCTTTCTCTGTGTGCAGGGAGATTTGTAGAATTGATTTGCTGATGAGGGACTGCTGGATCGAAGGGCAGCGCATCTATAATTTCGTGGCGTTTACCTGTCCCTTTATGCCATCTTCCTTCCCCCAGCAGTGTCTGAGTCTTCTGGATGAGAATGACTCTGATGCTGTCTTGTCTTCTAGCACCAAATAATACGGACTTGCATCTTTTCTCTGCAGCACTGAGTGTTTTTTAGGGGTAGAGGGAGAGGTTATTATTAACGTTTCTATAATCACAAGTCAAGCCACTGCTAAGTAGACACCGTGTTGTACTTGCTTTATGGCATTTCGGACGGGACCGCTTTCGGGGAGCCCGCATGCTGACCGCGCTGTGTGAGGGCAGGCTGGCCGGCGCTGGGGTTCAGGCTGGTGCTAGGCGAGGAGGGACTGTGCAGATCTTAGGTTCTCACGCACTGAGCTTTGGACTTTTCCAGCAGGCAGTGCGCAGCAGGGGAGCTTTCAGGGCGGGAGGGGTACGGCTAGGACCCCGTCAGGGCAGGGTTTAACTCCAGTAGCCTGTGCAGGACACGGACGGGACGACAGGCACGGTAGCTTCTGCCTAACCCTTCCCGGGCGGCTTGCCGTGCTAATACCTGCGGGGGCGGCTGCTTCGCAGGGCGGGAGAAACCTTCCCCAGGAGGGTCACCTCGCTCTGCTGCTCTCTGGCGGAGGGCGGAGCGGCCGCTCTCCCGCTTGCTTCCCCAAGAGCGTCCTTAGCGTGGTCATTCAGACGCACAGCGGTCGAGACCCCGGAGCCCGCGCAGCTGCCGTGCCTCTGAACCCACGACCTTGCCGCTCCCGGCGCCCCGAGGTGACCTGGCCAGGAGCCGCCGTGCGCCCGCGACGCCGCGCGGTTCCCAAGGCAACGGCAGCCGGCGGCGG